AAGTGGCACGTTTCTTAAGCTGATTGAAGCCATCTATGACAAACCCACAGCTAACATCATACTGAATGGTGTAAAACTGAAAGCTTTTCCACTTAACACTGGAACCAGACAGGGATGTCCACTATTGCTCCTATTATTCAATACAGTTCTGGAAGTTCCAGCCAATGCAATCAGGCAAGAGAAGGATATAATGGGGGGAGAGGAGGTTGAACTCTCCCTCTTTGCTTATGATATTATTTTATACTTAGAAAACCCCAGAGACTAAACCACAAAACTCCTGGAAGTCATCAGGAAATGCAGTAATGTGTCAGGATATAAAATCAATGTCCACAAATCAGTAGCCTTTGTATATGCCAATAACAGGCTAGTTGAAGAGCAAGTCAAGGACACAACTCCTTCACAATAGCTTCAAAGAAATGAAATACGTAGGAATGTACCTAACAAAAGAAGTGAAAGATCTTTTCAAAGAAAATTATGAAATCCTTAGAGAAGCAATTGCAGAAGACACTAACAAATGGAAGAACATACTATAATCATGGGTGGGAAGAATCAACATTAAAATGTCAGCTTGGCACCTGTAGCTCAAGAGCTAGGGCACCAGACTCATACACTGGAGCTGGTAGGTTTGAGCCCAGCCTGGGTCTGCCAAACAACAATGACAACTACAACAAAAAAATAGCCAGGCACTGTTGGGCACCTGTAGTCCCAGCTATGTGGGAGGCCCAGGCAAGAGAATCGCTTAAGCCCAAGAGTTGGAGGTTCCTGTGAGCTGTGATGCCAGAGCACTGTCCGGAGGGCAACATAGTGAGACTCTGTCTCAAAAAATAAAATAAATAAATGAAATTAAAATAAATAAATAAAATAAAATTCTACCCAAAGCAATCTACAGATTCAAAGCAATCCCCATTAAAATACCAATATCCCACTTTGAAGAACTGGAAAAAATAACTCTTTATTTTGTATGGAACCAGAAGAACCCTGTATAGCCAAGGCTATTCTTAGTAATGAAAACAAAGTTGGAGGTATGACCCTACCGGACTACAAGGCTATATTACAAGTCCACAGTCATCCAAACAGTATGGTATTGGCACAAATATAGAGGCAGAGATAGATGGAACAGAATAGAAAATCAAGAGATGAAACCAGTGTCTACTTGCCATTTAATCTTTGATTAATCTAACAAAAGCATACAGTGGGGAAAAGAATCCATATTCAACAATTGGTGCTGGGAGACCTGGATAACTATGTGTAAAAGACTGAAACTCGACCATGCCTTTCACTCCTTACAAAAATTGACTCAAGCTGGATAAGACACTTAAATCTAAAACACAAAATGATAAAAATCTTAGAAGAAAGTGTGGGGAAAAC